AAGCATAAGGTAAGAGAGATCGAGTGTGATTTGAAACAAATTAGCTGGGCTTGGGATGAGTATGTACAGTTCTAAGACGTGAACCCATAAACTCTAATTTCATCAGAATTACACATTTGAGTATTCATAATGGGATATACAAGTCACCACAAATGAGAATGCAAAGAAGCAAGGAGACAAAAGCCTATTAAACCCAGCACTATTCAACCCAGAAATAACCTCAACAGGAAGGGGTTGCAGTCCTGTGAAACTCCCAAATGTGCAACAAACCCACGAGCCTCTGGCACCCCTGAGCACTCTACTTTTTGGTTACCCTTCCTAGAGATTGTCTGCAGAAATTGCATAGGGCAAAATTTTTGTCCTTGCCAGAAGGTGTAATTTTACCAAATAACTCAAATTCAGGGAGGGAAAACATTGGTTAAAAGATTTGAGTGTGACTCCCCAACTCAGCACCAAATCAGGTGGTAAAATATGCTGAGTGACAACACTGACTTGTTTTCAAGGTACTCTGAGACCTACAGAGACATAGCATTGCAAAAAGTGCCATATGCCAGTAGAAAGTATAGGATAAAGAACGTTCCATCAGCTGCTTTTCTGGGAAGCCATGACAAGAGCTACAGTACTGGGGGCGAGCTGAGACATATTAATTCAAAGGCACTATAGATGATAAATGTAATTCAGACACCTGGCAACTAGGAAATTTGGCTCAGTCAGTTCATCAACCCACTGATCAGGTTTTAGGCATGTTGCGAGTGATACTAGGATTGATAATAATTCAGAAAGCAGAGATTCTTACCATTCCATCTTATCTCCACCCTGACCCAGCTCACAGATGTGTTTGGGGCAATCAGAAAAAACCAAAACCAATACAATTCTGTAAAGTAATTATCCTTCAATTAAAAATAAATAAATTTAAAATAAAAAATATTGTAATTGCCTTCCAATTAAAATTTTTTTAAAGATAAAAAAAACACAAGCAAGCTGATGGTACAAAGGAATGTTGCTGCTAAGTCGCTTCAGTCGTGTCCAACTCTGTGCGACCCCATAGACAGCAGCCCACCAGGCTCCCCCATCCCTGGGATTCTCCAGGCAAGAATACTGGAGTGGGTTGCCATTTCCTTCTCCAATGCATGACAGTGAAAAGTGAAAGTGAAGTCGCTCAGTCATGTCCGATTCCTAGTGACCCCATGGACTGCAGCCTACCAGGCTCCTCCATCCATAGCATTTTCCAGGCAAGAGTACTGGAGTGGGTTGCTATTGCTTTCCTCGACAAAGGAATGGGGGCTGTGGAAATTCCATCTGGGTGATGGGTAACCCAAGGTATCCAGGTGGCAGTAGCAGGGACACCCAGAGCCCAGCATCCATGGTGTCAATAGTATAAGCTGGGGATTCTGCATACAGCAACAGCAGTGGTGATCTCACCACACAATGTTATCATTTGGAGCACTGTTTCTGGCTCTGCATCTCTTGGGCAACTCAATATTATTTGAATGAATTCTTTATCTACCCAAATTAATAAAATGTAGAACATATTGACTATAACCAGTATGTCTCCATTAAAATTAAAAGTAAAACAAACAAACAAACAAAAAACCCCACAATCTGAAGTCAAGGGTCTAAATCCAGACTCTTGCCCTTTGAGTACAAAATTCTTCCAGCCATTCTCCTTTGGTTAAATATAGTGATCCTGGGTTCCCTTGTCTAGGAATGTTCTCAGAGAAAAGTAACTGAAAATTAAGGGATCTGAGAATCTCAAAGCACCCTTGACATTCACACTGAGCATTCTTTAGCTACAGTATAGTTAAAAGAATAAACTCCAAAGGAAGTTTTGGCAGTGTGAAGAAGCATAGGGCCCTGGTGTCTAAGAAAATGAGAAGCAAATACTGTTTGTACATTTTCCTCAAACACTGGCAACACAATATGAGCTCATTGAACAACTTGTTCCTGTTCAAGGAAAAAATTAACAGTTGCATAAAAGTTATCTTTATTTGGAAAATCCTGAGGTTCTTCATCATTCATATGTCCATATATATGCAAAGAAAAACTCTGCACTAATATCCAGATTGGAAACATCACAGAGAGATCTACAGACATGAAATCCAAGGTGAGCTAAATTCCCCCAGACAAAGGCGTAAGGTGATCTGTATTGGGTATATTTGGTCCAACTTTGGAGTAATTCTGATAGGACCAGAAAAAATAATTATCAGGATCAGAGCTAGTCTGACAGCATCATTATAACCCTTGCTCTTCTCCAGAGACATCCATTCAAATCTCAAAAATAGTTCAGCTCTGGCACCTCTTGGATTTCAGGGTACTTTGGTTTGAGATGCCTAACACAGTATCAGTGAACCAAAGAGAACTGGGACCTTTTTTCCTCAAAATGTCTTTGAGACTTTCAGCACAGTCTGAGTCCAGAGGAGATTCCATTTTCCCTCCTCACCTTTCTAGATCAGTAGTCCTCAGGAGCAAAAATACCATGTTGCCCTGGAATGAATCTAACTTGAACCACACTAATTATGATTACTAGTTATATAATTAGAATGGTTACCAGATCAGGCAGGCATGCATGATAAATTTGTTCATATTTGTCTTTCAAATACTGTGCCTTAGGATAAAATGAAAAACATTTATTATATGAATCCAAGTTTGAGAAAATTCTAAAAAAAATAAATTTTTCAATCATTGCTATTTTGTGAGGTAGCAATACTCAGCCCAAGTGAACTGGTGACATCATTTAGGAGGCTAGCCTAGAGTTGATTTGGGATACAATTAAGTACCATTAGGGGCTTCCCTGGTGACTCAGATGGTAAAGAATCTGCCTACAATGCAGGAGAACTGGGTTCGATCTCTGGGTTGGGAAGATCTCCTGGAGAAGGGAATGTCTACACACTCCAGAATTCTTTCCTGGAAAATTTCAAGGACAGAAGAGCCTGGCAGGCTATAGTCCATGGGGATGCAAACAGTTGGACACGTCTGAGAGACTAACACTTTCACTTAAGTACCATTATAGGAAGCTCAGTAGTACTGGGATATCATAAGGTAGAGCCAGAGATGTAAGCAAGACTGAATTCCCTGTGTACCTAAACTTTAATGACTCAACCAAATTGTAAAGAACAAACACAAAGGATGGTTCAAGGTTAAGCCACTGCTAGAACAATGGGAAAAAAATGAAGATACATGTATGAGAACTGAATACTGAGAAACAAAATGTAAAAGTGTGCCAAAACAGAACAGCAAAAAAGTGTGTGTGTGATCCCCACCTTAAATGTAGGAGAGTCTTGGGATGATGCCATACATTTGCTTTAGAATCTCATTATTACACAATCTACAGGATATACATACAATACATCCCTTTTGTAAGAAACACCCCCTCAGCAAAACTAGCTCCAGTCCACTAGTACTGTTTTCCTAGAGATACAGGACAAAAAAAAACAGATGTTGTTCTAGCCAGGCACAAAGTGAGAATCAATTATGACTATTTCTTTTCCTGGAGTTATTTCATTTTAGAGAGCATCTAACTAAAACCCTTTCTGATATAAATGAAAAAGCATTTCTTTGAGACACAGGCTAGTAAATGATACACATCAGTCTGTATTCTGTGACATGCTGCTAATCCTCTGAGAATTAAATAGCCTCTGTTTCAGTTATATAAATGTTTAATTTTTTCATCTTTAGTCTTAGGTTGCTTGGAAAGTATATTATCTCTGCAGATGTCCCCACTCACCAATTAGGGAAGGCAGCAGCTCACAATTGGTAGTGACTTACATATATTATAGACTTTGACACTTGGATCTGCTGGGAAAGGGATGGATTAAACTATCTAATAGAATCTACAGCGACAAACTTTTTCCCCACAGAAAACATTTTGTTTTGTGGATCATGCATTTTTTGTCCCTTTGGATTCATTTACAAAATCAAAACAAAGCCATTTAATGATGCATACAGTGAAATGAAATAGTTGAAGACCAGCACATAATCACCATATTTTGTTTTCTCATCTTTAAGCCTTTTAGCAGCAGGGCTTCCAGCTGAGTTTGTGTCTAGCTACTCTCAAGACATGGCCAAGCATTCTGAAGCCTCACTGAGCCTAAACACCAAGCTGAATTCATAGTTCTTAATTGAAAAAGACAGGTTGTTTGCCTAGCATGTTTGCATCAGTAAAACAATGAAAATGACATTTGTGCCCAAGTCCATCTGAACATTCTGCCTTAGCTGAACTCTGGTAATGTTTTTATACCCTGGTTTATGCTTGGAACAGTTTTAAATAGTTCCTCTTGATAAAGCATGTGTGCTAGATTCCCAAAAATAGACTCTTCTTCATATATGAGGATGTCATTCCTGACAAGTGCTTTGAGGCATTTTTGACATGCACAGAATGTTACATTAAGTCAGCCATGTTTTCTTACTCTGGTGTCTCCTATGACCAGTGGCTTGCATTTGCCTGGTACCTAGAGGGATTTGGTGGCATCACCACCTCATAGACAAAATGGGAAGTCTTGTACTCTGTCTCCTCAGTAAAGAATATACAATATGTGGTCAGAGTCTCCTTCTGGGTAAAGCTAACTAGCCTGATGTGGAAACAAAACTCACCGCTTTGATGTCATAAGTGCTGTGTTCTCTGCAACTCAACTGATTGATTGAATTTATGTACTAAAGCAAAAAGAAGCATTTATTCCTGGTGAGAAGGCACCTGCTCATTTCCTATGTGTGTGATGCAGTTATGATTGACAAGTGTGTATGCAATATGCATAGGTAGTCAGCTTTTTAAGTGCTTAAACATAACATTTATATGATCATAGTGAATCCACTCAGAGAGGGCAGAGTCTGGACAGGTGTCAGGACATCTCAAAACCCTTTAGGGGCTGCTGAGGCATGAGAATAATACATACCTTCAACATACACTCATTACAGTAAAGAAAAGTACAGGAGTACAGTGAGCCTCTAAACATCCTGAGTTCTTTGGAATCTATGGTTGCAACTTATAGCCAATCAGCCCTTACCATGGTCAGGCATCTGAGATCCCATGGAGGTCACACTGGTGTTCAGCACATCATTGACAGCAGTGTCACAATACAGGCTTCGCTGGACATCATGTTCACTGTCGGTCTGGTCACTCTCCTCATGGCCGCTATCCTTTAGGCTGTTGCCCTCTAAGTCCTTGAAGGTGGAGCTGCTGGGTTGAAGAAAGAATGATAATTTATAACTGTGACAGATCTGATTTTTAAAAATATTTCAGAGCCAGGATGATGTCAGCTCTGTGATGAGGCCAACAGCGACTATATGGTCCAACAGGGCAGGAGGAAGAAAAATTTCTGTTTAAAAATCATGGAACTTAACACTGTAGAGAAGTTCCCACTACTGAATGCTGATGAAGCTAATCACTTTCATTCACTTATCTTCAGGGCATCACTACAGGCAAGGCAGAAGGAACTACAATTCTGAAACAACCACCTGCAAAAAATCATCATCATTTCAGAAGGTTTCTTCCTCTTATGCAATCAAAGTAAAATAATAACAGCTAAAGTTTACTGAGGGATTACTGTGCATGAGGCACTGTTCTAAGTGTTTTATATGAGTTAACTTTTTAAAATAATCACAACTCTATAAAAGAAAGGTGCTATTAATATTCACATTTCATGAAAAAAAAAGAGGCACACATAAGTTAAATAACTTGTCCAAGTTCACACAGCTGGTTAAAATGTAGCAGATTTAAGACCAAACCCAGGTGGTCTGACTCCAGAGCCTGGCCCCTTAACCCCTATTTATACTGCCTCTCCAAAGATGTCTACTAAGCAACTGTGAAAATGAAAGTGGCAGAAATTGACGTAATGCAATTCAAATAGAAAGGGTTATCAGGATCAGAGAACTCGGGTCAGATTTAACTGAGAGAGGCTGAGGGACAGAGTCAAAGAAAAAAAGGAGAGGTAGGAGCTGAGAAGAGAGTCTTGGTGCATGGAAAGTAAGACGAAAGTGAGAACCAGAGGAAACAGTGAGTGCAGTTATGCTAAGAACATGGCAACCTGCAGCTTAAGACTTTGTGGGTAAATTTTTCTTGCACTTAGTAAATCAATCCACCATTCCGTGCACTAACCATACTACCTAAGAACCCCACACCATTTCTCAAAAAATAGAGAATAATACATCAGGTACATCCATAGAGGCTTCATCTGCTCTTTCTAATACTTTGTATGTCCTGACAGAATGTGCAGCTGTGATGCACCATGGACTATAAATTATGCATCTGAAATACCTAGTGAATGGTGAATCCGTTCCCTAGTCAGTAAGGAAGCAGCAAAGGCATACTCAAGAAAATGTATTGTTGTCTCAACAAGGGAGAGCAGCATGCTTGTGAATTAGGACAAGTCCCAACAGACCTACTGTACTTCTGAAAAGGGAGCCCTGTGGAGATGACACTGCAAACTCACTTGATCTGCTCAACCTTGAACATCCACAGGCCTGGCTCTCTGAGGCTTTGATAAGAACACTAAGTACATATGATGAAGAGCTATGCCATGGACACAATGGCTACATTGTCATTCTCCACACTGGTCAAAAGTAATGACAGCAGATTTTTAACATATGACCAACCTAGATGTAGAATGTTTGCTGCCTTGAATATGAAAAGGAAAAGATCAAAAGGGCAGTAACTGGAAAGCCATAATTATCAGAAAATGAAGGGCAAAAGGGGGTGAAGCACTGACCTATTTGCTAATTATTTTCAGAAAGAATAACTGAGCATCAACTGTATTAAAACTAAAATCACTCAATAGGCCAACTCACTCAGCTCCTTCAAATTATGTCATGTAGCTACTCAGCCCTGTGGACCCACCAGGATGCAGTTCTATTCAAAAACCAATCATCCTATGAGTTTTTTATGGTCATTAAGACCAATTGGAAACACATGCTTTAAAGTGCGTCACCATCTCTAGCTTCGTGGCACAGATTTAGCGGACTCCTGTAAGTACTAATTCCACAGAATGAACAGATTCAAAGTTTGCTTTAAAAAAAAAAAAAAACTGGTCCTGTCCACATGCACCCCTCACCTCAGGAGAAAGGAAATGACCTGCCTGGATGGTCTTACCGGCTCCATTATTACTTATTGCATTCTTATTGACACTTATTACTATCTTACTGCATTTTTATAACAAATAATTTTTGACCTACATTCATTCCTGCTATCTGAAGCATGTGAAAATTTCTTTTTTTTTATTTTTCATTTATTTTTATTAGTTGGAGGCTAATTACTTTACAATATTGTAGTGGTTTTTGCCATACATTGACATGAATCAGCCATGGATTTACCTGTGTTCCCCATCCTGATCCCCCCTCCTGCCTCCCTCCCCATCCGATCCCTCTGGGTCTTCCCAGGGCACTAGCCCTGAGCACTTGTCTCACGCATCCAACCTGGGCTGGTGATCTATTTCACCCTTCATAGTATACTTGTTTCAGTGCTATTCTCTCAGAACATCCCCCCACCTCGCCTTCTGCCACGGAGTCCCAAAGTCTGTTCTGTATATCTGTGTCTCTTTTTCTGTTTTGCATATAGGGTTATCGTTACCATCTTTGTACATTCCATATATATGTGTTAGTATACTCTATCAGTCTTTATCTTTCTGGCTTACTTTACTCTGTATAATGGGCTCCAGTTTCATCCATCTCATTAGAACTGATTCAAATGAATTCTTTTTGATGGCTGAGTAATATTCCATAGTGTATATGTACCACAGCTTTCTTATCCATTCGTCTGCTGATGAGCATCTAGGTTGCTTCCATGTCCTGGCAATTATAAACAGTGCTGTGATGAACATTGGGGTGCACGTGTCTCTTTCAGATCTGGTTTCCTCGGTGTGTATGCCCAGGAGTGGGATTGCTGGGTCATATGGCAGTTCTATTTCCAGTTTTTTAAGGAATCTCCACACTGCTCTCCATAGTGGCGGTACTAGTTTGCATTCCCACCAACAGTGTTAGAGGGTTCCCTTTTCCAATTTCTTTAGTTCGCAATGCATGATTGTTACCTTAAACCACAGAATTAAACCCTGACTTGACTGCATTTCAGCAGTTGCTAAAACTTGCTTGAGATAGATGATGGTGAGGGGTATAAAACAAGGACAATGTAATTAACCATTCTTTTAGAGCAAGGTTCCCAACCTTGGCACTACTGACACTGTATAAGTCTGTTGGTGGTGTTCTGTCTATTATAAGATGTTTAGCAGCATCTCTGGCCACTATGCACTAGATGCCAGCCATGCCTCTCCCAGAAGGTACAACCAAAAATGTCTCCAGACATTGCCAAATCACTCCAAGTTGAGAACCACTGCTCTAGGTTCTTTAAACTCTATTCCTGTAACATGTTATATTTCCTGACTATAGTGCAAAGAGCATTGAACTTGGAGTCATCAAAACAAGTGATAATCCTTAGTCTGCCACTTCATCTATGGGAACCTGGGTCTGATACCTAATGTCTTTGTGCCTTGATTTCCTTGTCTGTAAAATGCATCTGCTGGGAATTCCCTGGAGGTTCAGTGGTTAGGATTCCATGTTTTCACTGCCAAGGGCCTGGGTTCAATCCCTTGTTGGGGAACTAAGCACATGATTATTAATCAACTATACTCCAATTTTCAACAAAAAATAATGAAAAATTAAACCCTAGAAAAATTCATTTGCTAAAACCTCCTTTACAAAGCCATTTTGAGGACTTCATGAAATACTTCACATGAAGTACTAGTTATACACAAATGTTCAATAAATGGTTATTGCCTAATATGATCATTACCCCCATATATGGTAATGATTTCATTGACTTACAACTAAATATTACATAGTCTTTTTTTTAATTGGAGGCTAATTACTTTAAAATATTGTAGTGGTTTTGCCATACATTGACATGAATCAGCCATGGATTTACATGTGTTCCCCATCCTGAACCCCCCTCCCACCTCCCTCCCCATCCCATCCTTCTGGGTCATCCCAGTGCACCAGCCCTGAGCACCCTGTCTCATGCATCGAACCTGGACTGGCAATCTGTTTCATATATAATAATATACGTGTTTCAATGCTATTCTCTCAGATCATCCCACCCTTGCCTTGTCCCATAGAGTCCAAAAGTCTGTTCTATACATCTGTGTCTCTTTTGCTGTCTCACATATGGGCTTATTGTTACATCTTTCTAAATCCCAGATATATGCGTTAGTATGCTATATTGGTGTTTTTCTTTCTGACTTACTTCACTCTGTATAATAGGCTCCAGTTTCATCTACCTCATTAGGACTGATTCAAATGTATTCTTTTTAATGGCTGAGTAAGATTCCATTGTGTATAGGTACCACAACTTTCTTATCCATTCATCTTCCAATGGACATCTAGGTTGCTTCCATGTCCTAGCTATTATAAACAGTGCTGCGATGAACATTGGGGTACACGTGTCTCTTTCAATTCTTTTTTCCTCAGTGTGTATGCCCAGCAGTAGGATTGCTGTGTCATATGGCAGTTCTATTTCCAGTTTTTTAAGGAATCTCCACACTGTTCTCCATAGTGGCTGTACTAGTTTGCATTCCCACCAACAGTATAAGAGGGTTCCCTTTTCTCCACACCCTCTCCAGAATTTGCTGTTTGTAGACTTTTGGATAGCAGCCATTCTGACCAGCATGAGATGGTACCTCATTGTGGTTTTGATTTGCATTTCTCTGATAATGAGTGATGTTGAGCATCTTTTCATTTGTTTGTTAGCCATCTGTATGTCTTCTTTGGAGAAATGTACATAGTCTTTTTATAGGATTGATATACGAAATGTACATATAAATAATGCTTCTATATCTTCTGTAAACTATAGTCAAACATTGTCCACTACATTAATTTCTTCTAAAATTAAGGGATAGGAAAAAAATCATCCTATCCAACAGGTATCCTTCCTTTATTGAAAAATGAGAATGACATGCTCTGGTATACTTACTCTGTCTTGGCTTCTCAAAAGCTTCAAGGAAAATATAATGTTTAATTGCAGTGAGTTAGATGCCAGGGATCTCTATTTTGCTTTTCCTAATTGGTTTTGGCTCTGTCTTTTAAAACTTTGATCATCATTTTCATATGTACCTACTTAGATACATATAAAAATGATGATCAAAATTTTAACCACATTGGAGCTTTTGGCTTTTTATAGAAAGAAGAGAAATAACAAAATAGTGAATAGTTGGCTACTTGGACTTAAGGGACTGGTAATTTGAGAATGAGAAGTCATATGTTCTCTAAAGAAAAAGCAAAGTGTATTAACCCCCTCCGCCAAACCTTAAAATAGTTAACTTGTATAAAGATCAGTTTGTCCATCTGACAAACTAAGTGCCACTTACTCTCATCCTGTAAGGACATTTAGTGGCTTAATGAATAGATTTCTGTAAGGCAGTTTAAGACTCAGTAAGCAAGATGCTGCAAATTGTAAAACAGCCTGGTGAATGGCCACTCATCCAAAACAAATAACAATTTATGCCAGACATAAAAAAATGTTGATTTCACTTACTTTATTACCTGTGTACCTCTTGGGAGATGAAAGACTTGTAAACCAACTTTTGGGACAATAAATTAGGGTTCTTTTTGCAATGGTAATGTAAATACAGGTGTTTCTATTACTTGTTCCAGTGACTAACAGAGGAACAAGTTTGAAAAAATTTGGAATAAGATTCTGTACATAAGACTGATATAATACTTGATGAATGAACATTACTAACATTCTGACCCATATTTACACTTAAAAATATTAGAAATCTTTTCAAAGGACAGAAAAATCTGAAAGGAGAGCATATCTTTCTAGTAGGTAACACCACATACCCAGGAAATATCTTCTGAGAATAAGAATGGACTAAAAGTCAAAAGAGTAGGGTAACTATATTAAGAAACATAAGATTCTAGAGTGGTTCTTGGATCACCTGTATCACAATCACCTTGGGAACCTGTGAAAACTGGAGATTCTCTAGGGATGGTGGTAGAGCCTGCATTTAACAAGCCTCCCAGGTGATTTTAATGCACATAAGAGGCCAGAAATTGCCAGTATAGAGGAACGTTTAATGCTAGTTTTCCATGGAAAAATGCTGAGTTCTTTTAAACTTTTTTCATCCATTCCTTCAATAGACATGTACCAGCATTTATTATAGACAAGGCACCATATCAGATGCTGCAAAACCCCAGGACAATTCAGGTGGAAAAGGAAAGCACTCTGTATGGTTTAGGAGCCAATGCTCATTTTCTTTCCCACACTGCTTCAGAGCCATGTTCATTTCCTGCTTTGAGTTCACTTCTTTGAGCTATAGCCTCATGCCCTGCTTGATATTGCTCAAAAGCACTGCAGGAGTGGGTATCAGACAGCAGTACAGAAAAATGGCATGAGGAAAGACAGTGTTGCAGCAGGGGCAATGTCCCACTGCTGGCTTTCCTTGCTCTGAGATGATAGCAAGGCAACAAACATACCAGGAAGGAAATTAGTCCAGAAAAAATTCTGAACTGTCTTGGCTTGTTAACCTGGGACTCTGACATAAACCTTGGGTATACCTACAGGTTATAGATGGCCTGAACCTGTAGTATTTATTTACTTGTAGTATTCATTTACTACAGAAATAAATCACTAGATTACTCAGTGCTGAAGATTATGGGGCAATGTGCTATATATCTTCTTCTATATATACTTCCTGATCTACTCCTCACCCTTCTGAACCTTAATTTGTGCTAGGAGAAAGTCTCTTGCCTTCTGGCTTTCTGTTGGTTTACCTCAGGTAGACAGATGAGAGAGAGAAAAGGAAGCCTGCACGTAAGACAGTAAGCCCTGGAGAATGCCAAAAAGAAGGGTCTAAGAAGAATCCTTAGGTGGGTAGAAAGCAAACAGAAGAAGAAAAAAATGGATAGGAAAAGACGTTCTCAAAGTTGGCCTGAAATGGGATTGGCATTTGAAGAAACAAGAACTTGATAATAAAATTAAGACTGACAATCAGATTCAGAATTTTCTGGCCAGGTGATTTCCCATGCACATAAGTGGATCCTCAAGAAACCACATACAGTGAAATACCTTTCAAACATCACTCTGAGCTATGTAAACACAATTTGTGTGGTTTTATCACCTGATGTTAGTTACTACTCTCTTAACACTTTCCACACATTTTACATTTAAAATAGTTAGTCCCCCTCAAAAAGCATAGCACACAAGATTTCCTGTGTCTTTCCAGGTATTGTGCTTTGTCTAAATTCAAGTGATCCCATAAATTCCAAGACCTTTGTAGTTTTCCAAAACTCTCAGGGTTCCAAAAACAGAACCTGGTAAAAATGCTTGTGTTCCTGAGCTTTCCTGTTAACCAAGGTGATCCCTGATTGAAGGAAAAAAAAAGCACTATCTTTGATCTCAGGGAACATCAGGCAATTTTTCCACTAAGAGCCTATTAAGTCCATGTTGTACCTTTTGTGTGTACATGTGTGTAAACAAAAACATATAATTAATCAAAATCAGAAGCTCTAGTGAGTCCCAAAGCTGCTAAAGAAATACATGTGTCTCAAAAGCTAAATGTTTGAACATAAGTTTTCATCTCATCAATTTGCCTTGTGAATTGGATATTCAGGTCTGACCTAAGATGATGAGGGTTCCCAAGCGTCTTAGCCTTCTGCCATGCTATGAAAATCAGGTTCATGCTATGAGTTTAACCTGGTCTTAGAATTCCCAGGTACCCAGAGCTAGCCCAAGGTGCCTGTGAGGATAGGTAACTCACTGTTTTTATCAGAAGTCTGAAAAAAGGAGCTTTGAAATAACAGTTCTGAAGCAGAAAAGAAAGCAAATTTCTGCTGCAGTTACTCTAATCAGTGTACAAAAAGAGGGCTTTCATCCTTCCTAATAAATCAGTTGAATAATTTTGATTTCCTCATCTTTTGATTTATTCTGTGGGCCAAGAAATATTCAAAATGGATCCTTCCCAATCCCTCAAAAAATTCCAAACAATGCTATGACTGTTAATATTGGGCTATCCATTTTCACATAATTAATAATTTTCACATAATTAATAATTATCACTTAAGGTCACAAGTTATTCCAGACTGATAAAAATAAGCCTAGCATGTTAGTAGGCATTACTGTAGCATCGTGAATTAAACTAGATCTGAATTAAAGTTGTTTCTACAACAAACTAGCTTATTCCTCAAATCCTTCCCTTCTGGTGATATAAATTTATGGGATTAGAGCCAACAAAATAATAGAATTTTCAGATCTTGTCTACTGCAGCTCTAACATACCCTGCTTGCTCCTCTATTTCATTTCTATTAACAATCACACACAGAGTTCAATTTTAGTTACAGAATAACCACTGGACCATTTAAGAGGACAATTGGATCAAACAGTAATAAAGGCATTATCTGAATGGTCAGTACCAGTTTTTCTGCACAAATTCTCTGCTTAGAGAACTCCCTAAACCCCTCATCTTGCCTGCCTTGGGCACCTTGGTGACTACTGCACCAGATGGACTCTTCCTTCCTGGAATCTTCCTGCCCTGGAATCTTCCAGGCAGTATTAGCTCTGTATCCACATACATTGTGTCTCCATGAATAACTGAGTTATGAGCAACCATTCACACAAATCTCAACTTTGAATGCTTTGTTTGAAATACCTATTTTAAGATTTATTGTATTAGCAAGTATATTATCTTTCCCTATCTCATCTATAAAGTTTTTTAAAGATAAGAAGTTAGTTTATCTGTCATTAAAATAGCCTTAAAATGATTTCAAAGTTGTCAAAATAACAGCCATCAACCGTCTTAAAATTCAATAGAAGATACACAGGAGAAAATTTTAATATTAGATTTCTAAATCATCACATCACATTTTAATATGACCCTAACTTTAATTTAATTATTTCTGTATACAGTTACATAAAGAAACATGATAAAATGCCAACAGTGATTTTGGGTGGTGGAATTACCAGTGACTTTTATTTAGTTTTTTTTAATGCTTTTCTGAATTTCCCTAATTTCCTACAATAAGCAGATAAGCATTTTCACTTTAAAATCTGAAAAGGCCTCATTAAAAAATATCTTCTTGCTTTTTGTATTAAATTGAGCTTAATTGTAGAAATAGGCAAACAAACCAACATACCTTTTGATTAAATGGGCTCGGCTGTTCACGTAGTTGGAGTCAAAGGAATAATTTTCAGTCTGCAGTGGGGAAAGAAAAGATTAAAAATGTTATGGAGGTAATTCATGAAAAGAGTCAAACTGTCCTACTTAGGAGGAATTTTTCTACTGGGCAAGAGGCAATGAATGAATCAGAAACTAAGGCCATAGTGGGGCAACACCCTGACAAATACCTGCCACCTCCTTGGGGTCCTGGGGGCTCTGTGGAGGCAGTCCCCTGGCCAGAGGAAGATGAACTTGACACAAACATCCCCTAGAATACGCCTGACTACTGACCATGCAACCACTTAGGGAAGATACAGCATGACCAAAACTCTTTACAGAAACTAATTGCTTCCCATTCCCCAGTGAACACAATTCTGTGCCCATCAAATTGACTGGAAGTTCAAAGGTATTTTTATTAGTAGTAGATAATTGACATGTTAAAATATTTATTCCACAAATATGGAAATGCCGGCAAGGTAATCCCCCACTGTGGATTTAAACTCTGCACTTCCCTTTAAGACATTTTGCTCAGCACTGGTTATATAAGGAGGCCTTCATTTTACCACAGATATAAAGGCAAACAAGTATTACACCTAAAACGGGGTGAAAAGCAGTCCACAGGGGGTGCCAAAGCCTTTCATGTGAAACATGAAGTTTGAACGTAATGCCCTGTCTCAGCTCCTATCATTAAAACACACTGTCTAATGTGGTTACAGTAGACTGCCTGAGCAACAGCTTTACAAAAGCAAATGCAGAATACCTGCCAGATAAAAGTTGGGAAAACAGCTGATAAGCATCCAGAGGTTGGGGGCGGATTGAAGGCGGGTCAGCCTTAGGAGGGGGATACACAGGGAAAAGTCAACACTGAAGTAACTGGAGGTCCTAAAAACGTTGATCTTATGTCCCAAAGTAAAGTACTACTCTCGTTAATCACTGTATAAACTGAAAAATGCCCATCTCCTCTGCCCTCCTGCCAATCTACCAGAAATTCTCACCATTCTCACCATTCCTTAGGGCTTTCTGAAATCACTTCAACTGAAAGTGCCTGTGAAAGGAAACACAATAGCTGTCGAGCTAACAAACAGCAGATTCCTTTCAGATGACTACATGTCACACATGAACTATGCTAGGCTCTTAGATGCAGCTTTAGGTTTCAGGGAGCTCAGACTCCTTGAAAACAGGTAAACAGGACAGGTGATAGTAGTTCTACCACATGAGTACTAAATGGCCAACAGTCTGTATAGGGACTCTAAGTATCTAGAGTAGGTGGGGATGGGGGTGGCGAGTAGGTGAGAGAAAGAGAATGTAAGGAGAAGAAAACTAAATCCCCATCACTCTCCTGTACTTACAAGTGCATGCCCATGTTCTCCCCATGCCCCTTATTTGAAGATGAGCTGTGTAATTATATCTGGGCTTCCCAGGTGGCACTAGTGGTAAAGAACTTGCCTGCCAGTGTAGGAAACAGAAGAGACACAGGCTCAATCCTTGGGTTGGGAAGATTCCCCCAGAGGAGGGCATGGCAACCCCCTACGGTATTCTTGCCTGGAGAATCCCATGGACAGAGGACCCTGGCCGGTTACAGTCCATGGGGTCAGAAAAGAATCAGACCTGACTGAAGTGACTGAGCATGCAGACATGCAAGCACACTGGCTTTTTCTAAAGGATAAAATCCCCTTTAATGAAAATCACAAGTAAGTTTTGGTGTTGTTGGAAGGAATGGTTTGGGAGAATTAAAATCAAAAGGGTTAGTTCATTTCTAATTGGTTCATAAGAAAATGGAGGCTGAAATTGTTGCAAACATAAATACAAGAGAAGGAAGCAAACTTGAAGCTGCATTGGGAATACAGTGCTGGAAGAGGTTATCCATCAGTGAGTCAACCAACAAGCACTTCTTGAATTAATTTTTACACCATATAAAGGGCAAAAATAGTGTTGGGTAAATGTGCTCTTCTATGATATTCAGTACAATATATAATTTAATAAGCAGAAGTCTGCTAAGTGCTTCCCAGGTAGTGCTGGTGGTAAAGAATCCGACTGCCAATGCAGGTAGATGTAAGAGATGCAGGTTTGATTCCTGGGTTGGGAAGATCCCCTGAAGGCGGGCATGGCAACCCACTCTAGTATTCTTGCCTGGAGAATCCCATGGATAGAGGAGCCTGGTGGGCTACAGTCCATAGGGTTGCAAAGAGTCAGACCCAAATAAAGCGACTTAGTACAAGAAATATGATAACTGCCCCCCCCACACACACAGGGATTCTGCCCAAATAAAATAGGGAACTGATTAAGCACTGAGTTTAATTATTAGTTTGTGCAACCTTGGGCAAATTACTTAATTTCTATGTGTCTCACTTTCCTCCTCTATAAAATAGGCATTCATTCACGTGCGCTAATTTGCTTCAGTCATGTCCAACTCTTTGTGACCCTATGGACTGTAGCCTGCCAGGTTCCTCTGTCCAGGGGATTCTTCAGGCAAGAATACTGGAGTGGGTTGCCATGCCCTCCCCCAGGGGATATTCCCAATCCAGGGATCGAACCCATGTCTTATGTCTCCTGCATCGACAGGCGGGTTCTTTACCACTAGCGCCACCTGGGAAGCCCTAAAATAGGCATAACAGAAAACAAATCCTAAGGGGAATTTCAAGTGCATTTGTCATAACTCATGGTAGGAATGGTAGAAATCCTTATCCTCTGCTTTCTTCAGAACATGGATTCCCAAATAGGATCTGGGATTTGCCCCATTTGGGCAATAAAAGAGTACCATGTAGCACACATTTCATCGCAGCCTCCAAACTTCCTAAATCATTTTTTCAAAGAAGTTAACAGAGACACAGATGTAAAAGAAAGGAGGATACTAGCTTTGCACAGAAAGGATGAGCAACATTCCAAGATATTGCCACATTAAATCAGTTTTCAGGTAAAATATTTCATACCGCCTTGCATATATGGATGTCCAATCTGTGTGCACTGTGCATCAAATACAGAGCCCAGTGGACATGACAGAACTCTGGGCAAATAAGCTAAACCATACAAATTTATCCCTTGTGACTGTACTACTTCTTGGTCCTAATGGAATACTATATCTCACCTTGAGGATTCCCACTCACAGGCACTGAGTTATAGGAGGACACAGGTCTAGAAGACTTATAGAAACTTAGCAATTCTCTTTCACTTGCTGTGGTATACAGATGGGTTAACCTGGACAGATATGCCAGGCATGATCTGCCACTGTAGGTAGGAAAGTATCATTGAAGCTTATCACCTTGCTATCTTTCTCTTTTTACTCTAAAAGGGTAAGCCCCCAACCCCCACCACCCATTTTCATCTGTCCTGACCTTCAAATGTAAATATTCTATCCCCCAAACCAGCACAAACCATAATAGACAGATGGCCCATGCTAGATCCTCATGCAATTAGAAGCACTAGTCATGAGGCAGGTTCCTAGAACCGATTTCCCCACAGTAGATGGAGCTATGCTGAGTCATCCATTGCCTTTTGCCTCTGTAATCAGTATCAGGTCTCTTTGTGAGGCAGCTTGGTGAGAACTATGGAAACAACCTATGCAACAGAATTATTCTATTGATAATTGGAGAAGATATACTATTCTGGCCTCATTAGGACTACAATCCAAAGAACTGAGCCAACTGGCCATAGATGGCCTATGATGAGTCAGGGTAAAATAACAAGTATTCTTGCTTGTACTGATTCAAAGTGTGTGCTCAAATCCAAATGCACTGAAAAAGTGTATTTTTTTTCACACTTCAGGTAGAGCAAAGAGTGAGACTCAGACCACCCCGAAGAAGGAAATAATTTTTCTAATGAATAGTTTGCAAGTCTTAAGCCAGTGGTTCTTAGCCCTAACTGCACATTAGAGTCAACTAGGGAATTTATTTTTTTTAATACTGTTGAGAAGATCCCACTCCAAGAGATTCTGAGGTAACTGGTCTGGAGTGGGGCCCAGGCATTAGTACTTTTTAAAAGCTTCCTAGGTAATCCTAACAGACATCCAGAGTGGAGAACTGTCTTGGGCAAAAGACCAGACACTGGCTTTGACCCGATGTGCTGTGTTTTCTAAGGCAAGCCCAGAAGATGGCATCTCTTTTGCCAGATTATCTAACAAGGTCAACAAAGGCTTAAAAAATGACAAAAGAAATACACATTTTAGGAAATAATAAAAGAGCTTTTCTTTTTGCATGAATGTATTGGCTCCCAGTTAGCCTTATTTAATCAAAATTTGCTTGACATTATTCTAGTCCCCTCTCTAAGTATTCTAAATGGGAAATAACATGAAACATTTGAGAGGGGAAATTTTCTGTAAATGTCACATTAATTTCACTAGGAAATGTCCCCATCTCCAATGAGACAGCCAAGTTAACACAGGAACACAGCAAAGAGACAAGAACATTTGTTTCTGAAAAATCTAAATTCTGACATTTAAAAAAATGGGTCTAGAGCAAACTTTTATTATATAGTATTTTTATAATAATAATTATATTCCCAGTCTCAACAGTGTCACTTTCCTATCATTTAACATATTCCTCCCAAACTCTTTCTCTAATTAGAATTCTTTATCCTAGGGTTCACTAAGAACAGACTTCTCAGTTTGTTTAGGTTTAATCAAATCTGAATTTTCTGAAAACATAAAGAATAAATATTTGTGGATAGTAGTTTTTTGGATAGCTTAGAACTTTCTTCTCTAAGGACTAAAACTTTGGTTTAAAATCCTACCCGTTATGCCTTTTTTTTTAAATTGGAGGGTAACTGCTTTATAATATTGTGCTGCTTTCTGGCATACATCAACATGAATCAGCCACAGGTATACATATGTCCCCTGTCTCTTGAACCTCCCTCCCATCTCCCACCACATCCCACCCCCCTAGGTTGTCACAGAGCGCTAGATTAAGCTCCATGTGTCACACAGCAAATTCCCAGTGTTTATCTGTTTTACATATGGTAATGTATATGTTTCCTCACTACTGTCTCAATTCATCCCACCCTCTCCTTCCCCCACTGTGTCCACGAGTCTGTTCTTTATGTCT